AATTTTGGGAACCTCCAAGTGCATGCACCCACACGCACACGATTTTTTCTCTCCCAAAACTAGATCTAGGTTTAGCCGCTTCCTTTTTTCGATCTCCCTCTCCGGCGCCGGCAGCTTTGCCGCGAGCTGCGAGAGGGTCCCTTCCGTCAATCCAAAGCTCTTCTCCTCTCTGGAAACTTCTTCTCCGACTCTGTTTGTCGGTTTCGTTGGTGCGGTTCTCGTCATGGGTCATGGTGGTGTGTCTCCGGCTTATGCAATGGCTTTTCCCGGGCGGTAACCGATCATTATGATATATAGGTTATATCTTCACGATCATCATGATCATATGGTATACTATGTCTCTTCAGATCAAATATTTGGTTGGCTTATGATCATATGATAGATGTCTCCTCAGATCACAGCCTCCATATAATAAATGTTCCGAATATATTTATGAAAGATTCAACATTTATGAGAGGTTCCCGAAGAACCGTTTGAAAACAAATGTCTAGAAGACATTTCAGAAAAGTTCTTGAAGAACTGAATTAAAAAAAATGTCTAGAAGACCTATACAAAAGTTTGAAAAGAACTATATGAAAAAAATATCCAGAAGATATACATGAAAGCGTTCCTGAATAAATATTTTTAATAACTTTCGTGCAGAAGACGACTAACATATATACTAACTGTTTTGCATTATAGTTATTAGATTTCTATTTTATTATTTATTTGTGTTTAACTATTTAATTTATTTTATCAATATGGTTAAAAGACAGTAAAACATGTTTTTAAAGGTCAGAACTTCCAAAAGAGCTAAAGAGCTCTGGAAATTAAAAGCTCCAAAGAGCTAAAAAGTTCAAAAAATTTACAAAAATTAAAAAGCTCTCGAAGAGTTAAAAGTTCCGGAAGCTTTGCAATTTAAAAGCCTCCAGAAGAGTTAAAAAACTCCGGAAATTTTCAAAAGTTAAAAGCTCTGAAGAATTACGAGCTGCGGAAGTTTCATGAATTAAAAACTCCAGAAGAGTTAGAAGTTCTGGAAGAGCTAAAAACTTATGAAAATTTAGAAGTTTTTGAAGAACTAAACACTCTTGAAGAGAGAAATTAAAAGATAGTGAAAAGCTCTAAAAAGAGCAAAACGCTCCAGAAGAGCTAGATATTCCAGAAGAACAAAACGTTATAGAAGAATGAAACGTTCAAGAAGAACGAACGTTCCAACAGAGCGAAATGCTATAGAAAAATACATGATGAAGACATGCATAAAGATGGCAAAACTGTTTAAGATAGTAAACCCAAAATTTACTAGTATATAATATAACCGGTTTAAGTCATCCCGATGTAACAATGGTATTGAGAATTTATGTGAAAAAAAACCCAAAATTTTTCACACATAACATGTCTTGTTAAAAATAAAAAAGGATCATCATGAGAGATAAATCACCATTTTTTGTTGAAAGATTATTAGATATAATGGTTGGATTTTTTTTAAAGTCCCCCAAAATATATAATAGATCTAAGACCGAAAATCAGTTTAAGTTGAATGGACAAGTAAGGACATCATCTCAAAGAAAGTATAAAGAGTCTCACAAAAGGATTTGATGCATAATACAAGGTCTAAAGATGGGTTATTTGGATATGTTTTGGTCATAAAGTAGGATTCATTCGAGATGGATGAACTTGAAAAATCATCATCTCGAGTGGGAGAATTAGAAAATCCCATATCAAAAGTAGTGGAACATCTTTAAGATTATATTTTTAAAATTTGGTTTTATGGATAATTTATAAAGCGATTCATAAGTTGCAGGATCAACAATGGTGAAATTTCTCCATGTTTTGGTATGGAAGAGCTAATGATTCAGATTTTATGAAATGAATTATCATTATGGATCCTCGTATAAATGATTTTGAACTTGATGTTCAAAAGATAATTCATATGTAAATGTCAGACATACAATGAAAAAAAAAAAAATTCCAGCTCAAAATGCTCCAAAAATATGTCCATGAAGGACGATTTATCAATAAAGAGTCTATGGCACGTAAGAAACGTGATAGACTACTTTGGTTCCAAATATAAAATCCTCAAAAGAAAAGGAGAAAATATATATAAAAAAAGGATGAATCTCCTGAATAGACCCGTTGATATGATTAGTAATAAAATAAGGTACCTGAATGATATCATTGATAATGATAAAGAGATCTCGATTAATTATGTTATTACAAAAGAGTGTGGAACCAAAGATAAAAATAACTGTCGACAGTATAAACAAAATATCATGCGATATAAATGAGGATCATAAATTTACCTCTGTGGATGAGTGTAGAAAGTGAAAATATTGGTCAAACAGTGAAAAGAGACAATCAAATCTATGCTAAGCTCATATGAAAAATGAGAAATTTTTGGACCAGCAGTCCAAACATTAAAAGTAATATCAAGTCTCGCAGAAAATGAGCGACTTGAATTGCGAAAATTCTCCCTGAAAGATTAATGATATCATAATTATATTCCCGAAAACTCTACTTGTTGAGTATATGTTGCATGAGGTTTAATAATTTTAGCCGATAGATGGATCAAAGAAAATGATCATTGATTTAGTCATTAGATATGATGCCATTTAGAAAAGAAAATTATGTTCAGTTTGTTTTGCAGGTATATTCCAATTAGACATCTCATCTCAAAATATCCCAACAGGATCTAAAATATAGAAAAGCTCAGATTTAAGCATTTCTAAAGAAAGTGCTATTTAATCCTCCCTATAATATATTTTGAACTTGAAGTTCATAAAATTTGGAAGTGCTCCACAAAAACTAATGTTCTTGAAGAACAAAATTTCATTGGAGCATTTAAAAAGGGAGAGGCCAATGAACTCTAAAATTCTCCTGAAGAGAAAGAAAATTTAGAGAATAAAATGAAAAGGTTCTAGAAGAATCAATAAAAGAAAATCTTTGGACTTATAGTCATTATACCTGAAGAAGTAATGTCATCCGAGACCAAATAGGTCTTTATTCAAAACAATGAGAAAAAACGAAGTCAAAGATATAAAGTCCGATATGTGGCATAAATTCTTTTTCAAAGACCGAAAATTGATATTCTCCAATCATGGATGTAATCACATTCAGTAAATGTGCTGATAAAAATCTCAGAAGGATCAAGGATGCCTGAAGCATCTGAAAAATTTATTTGGTTAAGTTACATTGATCAAAAGAATGGTTTGAAATGAGAGATCTTGGAAAGTCAGGATAATATATTTCATGAAAAAAGTATGGCTAACTCAAACTATGGACCAGAAATCCAAAGATTTGAGAATGATGATTATACGAGTTTGTTCACTAAGGCTATATTTATAAAGATCTCAAAAAGATGGTGTATATATTTAGAATGCATTTCCTGAAGATAATGCTTCCAAGGGGAGATTCGTAGCTGCACTGTTTTTTCCTTTTTCATGGTTTTAATCCTAATGAGTTTTTTCATAACGAAGTTTTTAACGAGACAGAAAATGAAAACGGAAAAAGATAAACATCTAAAGAGAAATACTTCCAGAAAAAGTATAATGAAGAGCATAGATGTATTTTTTTTCTTTACTATGGTTTTGTCCTATTGAATTTTTTCATGATGAGGTTTTTAGTAAAACATCAAAGAATACGCAAAGGATATCCAAGATACCAAAAGAAAGTATTACAATGACGTAAAAGTCAAGAATCATCTATTCACAGGAAAGATTCATCAATTCGAAGAAGAAGTTTATAAAGAGAAGATTATATCGATATTTTCAAGAAGACATTAATAATAGATAATCAAGAGAGAATGTTAGAAAAGATAAGATTATCCATTTTAATAGTTTAATATTTACTTGTACTTGAAATTTCTTTCACCTACTTGAGTAAGTCGGTAACTTTGGTGCTATAAATATGTACCTAAGGCTAAGAAGAAAACAGATTATAAGAAGAAGAAAAACATCTTCTCATATACGTGCGTCTCTCATTCTCTCTCTCTGTCTCGTGTTTCTCCATTCTCTCTCTTTTCATATGCATATATAAAATAATATATAATATACACACACAAATATATCTCACCTCATATATATTTATATTAAAGTTTATAATATATGCAAATTAGATACAACTAGTGTTGACCCGTTAAAGAATCCGGTTTAGGTTTAATGCTAATACCAGATGCATATAAACTCGCTAAAAACTGGCAAAACTCGATAAACCCACGATCTGGTTTGTGATTGAACCGATGGATACCAGTTTAAAATAAATTTTGAACAAATTCAAAAAATTTGATTTTAAAAGATCTTCACAGTATTTTTTGACATACTGATTAACATTGTTGTTTTCTAGTTATATATATAATATTGAATAAATTATGTAAATTTTTTTTATAAAAAAAATAAAAATTTCAGTAAGCCGCCGGAGGAAACCGAAAAGAATGGTGATAGAAATAACAAAAATTGGTTGAGATGATTTGTTTATACTTCGCTTTCATCATTAATAATGTTTTGCTTTTGATTTATTTTAGATTAACTTTATAATTATCGTTATTCATGTTAAATATTTATTAAACTATTAATCTTTATGTTTATTTTTGTTTTTGTTTTTATTTTTAATGTTAATTTGTCATCAAATGTTTTATAAAGTTGTGCTAATAGTTATCATTTTATTAATTTTTAACTATATTCTCAATATATATATAATTAATTTATTTGTCCGCAGTTAAACCATGGTTAAATTACTGATCCGAAATACATTTGGTTCACAGGGTTTAAAAACATTGGATACATCAATTGAAAAAGTCAAATGGTCCAGTTTAAGGTTATTGGGTTTAAGAACTGGTCCAATCCAAACCAATTTAGGCACGAAAATTAGATGCAGCCACAGTTTCTCACTCTCTTAGTCTCTTCTGCGCCAAGCGGTTTGCTATTTTCTTACTGGACGCTTCTTCTTCTGATGCTTGTAGGATAGTAAAAACCCTAAACTTTGCCTCAAATTGGGTTTTTTTTTTCTTTTTTTTTTTTTTTTCTGGGTAACTGTTGATTTTGCGAATCTGAATTCGTGCAGAGTCGATGGATTTGATCGGAAGTCTACCTGACGAGGTTCTTTGCCATATACTGTCTTTCCTTACGATAAAGGAAGCTGCTTTGACATCGATTCTCTCAAAGAAATGGCGCAATTTATGGGCACTTGTCCCTAATCTTGACATTGATGACTCTGTGTTTCTTCATCCGGAAGAAGGTAAGCGAGAAAGAGAAGGGATTATTCAGAGCTTCATGGATTTTGTGGAGGGTTTTGGCATTGCAGGGTAATACTCGCATTAAGAGATTCTCCCTGAAATGCAAAACTGGTATTGATACAGATCGTGTGAATTTTTGGATATGTAATGTCCTGCAGCGTGGTGTTACAAACCTTGAGCTTGTCCTCGATTTTCCTAGAGACAATGACGATTTAGATTCCGAATATATGTATTTTCTGCCTAAGGAGATGTTTGTCAGTAGCAAACTAGTCGAGCTGAGTTTAAGAAGTGAGTTTGGTGTTGATTGGTGGCGTGGAGGTACAGCAACTTTCTTACCAATGCTTAAAACCCTCAGCATTGAATCAGACGGGGTTTTGTTAGGTGATAAGCTTGATGTGTTTCTGTCTGCTTTCCCTGTGCTTGAGGAGCTCTCCATTTCTGATATTGAGTGGCTTGATTGGGATGAAACCGCGTCAAGTGCAAGCCTCAGGAAGCTATCTATCTATGCAAGTGGTTTTGAAGACTGGAGAAATCCGAAAAGCATTTCTTTTGATATTCCAGGCCTGGTTTGCCTTGAGTATTCTGATTTTGTTGCTGCGGACTATCCAAAAGTTAACTTGACAAATTTAGTTCAGGCTCGACTCGAATTTAAAGTAACTGAAGATGAATTGGAGCTAATTCGTGCGCCGAATGATGAAGATGATGTTATGCTGCGTCTTAGGAATGTTTGGAAGCTCATCAGTGGCATAAGAAATGTTCAGAGGCTTTTGTTATCTGCAGTTACTCTTGAGGTCAGTTGTGCTAGGGTTTCTTTTCATTTCTGTAACAAATTTTGCAGATGGGTAATGTTGAGTTGGGGCTTTGTCTTGTTGCAGTTACTTTCTCTATACTATGTATCGATGCCTGTGTTCAACAACCTTAAGGTTTTACGGATTAGGAGTGACGCAGATCTGGGATGGCAAGCAATGCCGGTTCTCTTAAGGAACTGTCCACATTTAGAAACTCTAGTCCTTGAGGTATAAATATTACTCACTAATATACAGTTTCACACTTTAAAATTCCCTTTTATTGATTCGTTTTTCTTTCAGGGTCTCTTACACTACGTGACTGATAAATGCGGTGATGTTTGCGACTGCATATCTCGGGAGGACAAAGGTCGTTCACTCTTATCTTGTCCAGTGAAGAAGTTGCAGATTAAAGGGTTTCAAGGAACAGTTAGAGAGAAAGAGATGATAAGGCATTTCTTGGAGTCTTTCCCATGTTTGGAGGAGATGGAAGTATATGCCAAAGAGAATGATCCTCCCAACTTTGAAGAAGCTAGAATCTTTAAAATCGTCGCATGTAAGGTCCACGAGGAGGTCACGACGGAGATCGTGCTGCAGTCCAAGGGATTCGCGTTCGGCAAGTTGGTACAACTGAGAAGTTTGTCCCAAACTCAGATGGAGGAGATCTCTGCTCAGGTATATATTGATTATACGCAAACTCATCACGGTTTTGAGTTAACTACCCTGTCTTTTTCTTGTTTTCTGCAGTTTGCTCCCCGCAATAACAAACATATCTACGATATGACTTTCATCTTGCATGGAACTTCTCCTCCACCGCAAGAGATGTCTCAAGACTACCTTCAAAAGCAGATAGATGCTAATAAAGCCAATATTGCGGAACTTAAGGAAATGCAACGAGGCTACGAAGCTCTGTTGGATAGCATTGTTGATCAGAACTCGTTGATAGCATCAGCTTTGAGGGCTCTACGTGCAAATGGCTTAGAAGGTGCAGAGGCATTGAACGATCAGGAGATGGCCGAGAAGAACCGGGACCTCGAGGCCCAGTTTGATATCATTGCCCAACAGAATCCAATGCTAGCTTCAGCGTTGAAGGCTTGGCGTGCGACTAACTTAGAGCGAGGAGAGACGTCATGGGATCAGGAGAGGACCGAACTCGACCAATCTACGTCCTAAGCTGTGTCCGCAGAGTTTTTGCCTCGAGATGGAGATTAATGTTTGTTTTTGGGTAATGACATAATTAAATTTATGCTTGTTTTTTTTTTTTCTCTTTTGTAAAATAATTTTTATGTTTCAATTTTAAACTAAACCGATGTGGAAGTGGCATTTAATTTGCGTTTTTGGGTAATGACATAATTTACTTACTCACTTGACTGGATGCGTCTCCTTGAGTTATGGTATTCATTTTGGATGTTTCAGCTTCTCATAAGCATTTGCATGTCTTCTTGAACTGAAAGTTTGAGACTTTTCTTCTGCTTTCGACTCTGTATCAAAGTAGGTACCGAATTTTCTCATATCTGGCTCTATCTCAATATTTGTTCTAGTCATATCTTTACTTGTTTCTCTCTATTTAGATATTTTTGCGGTGGTTGATAATTAGGATGGATAGTATCAGCAGTCTACCTAACGAGATCATTTGCCACATCGTGTCCTCCCTCTCTGCAAAGGAGGCTGCTTTCACAACGGTTCTCTCAAAGAGGTGGCTGAATCTGTTTACCATCATACCAAATCTCCATTTTAGCGACTGGGTTGAGAAACCGGAGAGTTTTGTGGGTCAGTTAGTGGCTCTGCCAGACAGTTCCCGTGTAAGGAAGTTCACTCTTCTAAAACGTCTAGGGCTTTTTGAACTAGCTGATGAGCACGTCCATTGTTGTCTTTGTAATGTGCTGAAGCGTGGTCTCATGGATCTTGAACTAAACATAGAAAGTGAGTTTGGATGTTCACCACCTTTCCAGGTCTTGGTTGCAGGGGTTAGCCATAATGACATAGATAAAGGGAAACCATTCTCGCTGCCCTTTGAGATCTTCACTTGCCAGACACTTGTTACGCTAAAACTAGGAACAAGTGTTGTTATCTATCAACTTCCTGAGAATGCTTTACTTCCAGCGCTTAAGACTCTCATTCTTGACAAAGTTCGGTTCTATGGTCTTTGTGGCTGTGCGTTCCAAAAGCTTCTTTCTGCTTGCCCTGTGCTTGAAGAGTTAGTCATAGATAGTGTGGACTGGGAAGATTGGAAATGGTCTCGCACTGTATCCAGTCCAACCCTTCAAAGACTTAATATTAATAGAACACAGCATTTTTATTTTGATGGATCTGATTTTGGGAGCATCACGTTTTATACTCCGAAGCTTGTCTACTTAGAGTACGCTGATTTTATTCCGGATGAGTATCCTGTTGTTAATTTTGACTCCCTCGTCGAAGCTATGTTGGATCTATTTATGACGGTAGATCACACTTGGAATGTAGGATTCGCAGGTGATGATGATCCTATTTCTAGCAATCCAACTAATCTATTAGGGCTTGAAGAATGTTCATATCCTGACCATACTATCTCCAGACACTTTGGAGGTAAGTCTGTTGTTGTTTGTTTATTCGTTCTCTGTGTTATGTAATTACATATCTGAGAAAGCAAAAGTACATAAAGAGGATTATCAAGAATCAAATGCTTTCTATTTTGCAATTGGTTGATGTAGTTGATATTTTTATTTTGTTTCAGGCATTTTATTTCTTCCGTGAAGCAATACCAATATTTGAAAATCTAAATCGTCTATCTTATACACCAAATGAAAATGATGATGGTTACTGTATGCGATCTCTGCCATTTCTGCTAACCAAGTCTCCAAATCTAGAGACTCTTGTCCTCGAGGTATGTTTAAAAACCTCAAATGTTTATTAATAGATATTAAAAAATCTCTAATTTCTCTTGTTTCAGTGTTCGTTGCACTATGATCAACATAAACCAGAATCTGTTTGCAAGTGCATGTTGGGTTATTCTTGCCTATTATCATGTCCTGCGAAGGTCCTAGAGATAACCAAGTACGAGGGAACTAAAGGAGAACTGGAGCAAATGAAACATTTCCTAGGGAAATTTCTTGAGTTGGTGAAAATTCGTGCTGGGGCAAGAGATGATGAGGAAAAGTTGCGATTCACCATGGATCTGCTAATGTTTCCCAGAGCTTCGGTTAATTGCAAGATCGAGGTTTCTTAATTGCTCTAAGTCATGCATGAAGAAAACACTTTGGTTCTTCTAGTCTTCTAGCTGCATCTGTTTAAAACTTGAAAAATTGTCGGAGTTTCCTTGTTATTTTTCCCTGGCCTTATCTTTCTTGTTTCGACTTTGATTTTATTATTTACCAGTGGTTTTGCTTTGATGGGTCTGTTATAATATCTTACTACAAAATGAGAAAGATTGCTCACAAGATTCGTCGAACATAAACGATTTGCTTGCCAGAAACACCACCATATTCCAATTAGAGTTACCTATCGTTGCGCATAGACAATGGACTTGTGAATCTACAGTGTTCTTCCTATAAAGAGAATCAAATGAAGTTTTGATTCTGAGTTAAAAAAACACATTACAGCTTGTGGAATAACGCTCTTAGCTCTCAATTCCTCTATTCATCTACGCTCTTAGCTCTCAATTCCTCTATTCATCTACGCTCATAGCTTTTTACGTCACTCTCTTTGACCTCCCCAACTCAGTCATAATCTTTCCTGTTTCTTTAACTGCATGCAACAAAAAAGAAAGCCAAAAGATTAGTTAGTATTGAGAGGTGGTCACTTAGGTGTGATATGTTCAAACAAACAACATAGATCATGCAAAAAATGCAGTACCATTAATGTACTCAAATATCTAAGCATATAGTTGAATGTGTTACACTATAAGATTGGAACCGGTGGACTCCTCTAATTGGTTTCACCATTGAAGAAACTTGATTTACTAATAGAAGTCTCGGAACTCTTGACTTATCCTCCATACTAAAACCCTAGACAAATCCAGAATGCCTATTCTCCTCACTCTCCTTTAAACCTTCAGCGCTCAAAACATTAAACAACCTACATAAGCTCTGTAGTAAATCTGGAAAAGCCACAATTTCCTGAACCACCCCTCAGCTAGTTACAATAGTCACAACAACACATTATCAGAGGTTCAGTATGCTTTACCTATTGCATCTTCTTTATATATGTAGAATTTTTTAAATTCACTAACAGTATTTGTATTTGAGGTTAAAGTCATTCGAGGCTGAAGGAGAATAAAGTTTGAGAACCCTAAATTGTTACCGTCTTCATCTAGACGACGGCGAAGGCTAAGTTTCCTCTGAGTTTGGTATCGTCTTCCGTTATCGATAAAAGGTTATAGTTCTTCGTTTTCTGTGAATCTCTCTTACGGATTGGATCTAGGTGTTTGGTATGGCGACGGAAAGGTTATCATCATGTGGCTCCGTAGATTCGATCAGCTCTTTTCCAGATGAGATCCTTGCTCCGATCTTGTCCTCTCTTCCTACTAAACAAGCCGCTTCTATCTCGATTCTCTCCAAAAGATGGAGGAATCTGTTTCAACTCATGAATCTTCTCTGCGCATCTTTCTATTTTGACGACTCTGTTTTACTCCATCCCGAGAGAGAAGATAATGTTAATGTCCATGCCCAGGATAGCTTCAGAGATTTCGTGGATAAAGCACTTTTCTAATGTTGCAATCCATTGAAAAAACTCTCACTAGTATGCGGTGAAGACAATGCTGGTCGTACCCGAGGATGGGTATCAAAGGCATTGGAACGAGGCGTTTCGGATCTTGATCTTCGTGTAAGGATGACGTATTTCAACAAGAAGCCACCAACTCTTGATCTTCCTGAAACCATATACATAAACAACACACTGGTCAAGCTCACTTTAGGAACAGAGCTTTGTCTTGGACGTGCTCCTTATGATGTTGATCTTCCTCTGGTGAAGAGTCTCTTCCTTGATACAGTCTGGTTCACAGATTTTGATTTGGGTGAGTTGATCCAAGGTTGCCCGAAGCTCGAAGAACTATGCATACATCACGAACATATTCCAGATGAAGAGCTCGGTTTCGATACCATTCAACCTCAGGAATATATAGAACACTTGAACGTCAAGAAAGTCACAATTCGCTACAATGACCATTTCACTTTCAACCGTCATTTGATATTGAACGCACCACGTCTGATCTACCTCGACTACTCTGACTACCTAACTTGTAATGATATAAACTGGGGATATTTTAAATCGACCAGTGTCTTCAATGATCTTTTAGAAGCCCGCCTCAATATTGCTTCCTCTCCGAATGGGAGATTTAGCAATGAACATAAAATCTGTTCAGAACTCTTGAATTTTATCTGCAATATATGTTCAAATCCTTTACATCTCTTCTAATACTGCTGAGGTATCATCTCTCTCTATCTCTTTCCTTTTTCCTTTCTGTGTTCTTTCCCTGTCTTAATTAACGATCGACCGTTTGTTGTATGCGGCGTGGATGTGTTGCAGGTGATGCATGAGTACCTTGATTATTGGCGAAATCATGATGGATTTCCTTTCTTGAAGAACCTGGCTACTCTAAATTTTGAGAGTAAGAACAGGAAAGAATATTGGGAATTGCTGTCTATTATGATAGAAAAATCTCCAAAGCTAGAAACTCTGGTCCTTAAGGTATGATTTCCCATTTATAATAGAACTTGTGCGAGAATCCGAATATATCAGTCTCTAAGTTTTGTTTTATGGTTTTATATTCCAGGGTTTGTGCGGTATAGGCAATCTTGAGGTTGTTAACATTGGTGGAAATGTGGTGAAGGTGGTTGAGATCCAAGATTATGAAGGAAGACTTGAAGAGTTTAACCATGTCAAGTGCTTCTTGTGGGAAATGGAGAATCTTGAAAAGATGTCAGTGAAGATTAGTGATAAGATAGAGAAGAAGTTGCAAGTCACAAATGTTCTTCTTGCTCTTCCCAAACGTTCGTCAAAATGTAACATCCATGATCCATGTCTTGTAATCGTTTTTTTCCAGTTTGAAAAACTTAATAAAAATAAAACTGAATGTTATATAGGTCGGCCTGGTATGTTATTGGTTTTGTTGATTAATAACTGACTAGGTGTTGTTGATTACTATATTCAACTATTCGAGGTCGGTCTGGTAATTTGAGTTCGAAAGATCTTAAGTTGATCAGATTTTATTAAGTTCTCAGTTACAGTTCGTTCAGTTCGGAGGATTCTCGGCGAACTCAATACAATATTCAGGTCTCTATTCTCCGGGTCCGAAAAAGGCTCCCTTCTACAGTAACAATTCTACTATTTATAGTAAACAAGCGAGGAGACGTTTTAGGACTTCTCGTTCAGCTCTCACCGCCTCTCGTCGCTGGGCTTCTCTCTAATGGGCCGCGCTGTCAGGCCAGGCCCATTTCGGCTAAGGCCATCGTAAACTGGGGTCAATTGGGCCGGTCTCGGTCTTTAACCGGTCCAGACCGGGGAGCGGAGCGTACCACCAACAGTATGCCCCCCCCCCCAGTTCGGTAAATGGACCTGGCTGACTTTTGCCGAATTAGAGTTGGATCGGTTACAGGCCGAGGTCGGCGACGTCGAGTTCTCGGCTTACACCCTTCGTCTTCCCTGGTGCCTTGGCAAGGGTACTTAAGTATTTTCGCTTGCAGGAAACTGAAAAGACGCGTCGGTTTAGACGGGAAATCGAGACGTTACGAGGCGCAGAACTCGAGAAGTCGCAATGATTCGCTCTTCTATAAATAGGGTTCAGCTCTCCCAATTTCCTACTTTCGCTCCTAATGCCAAGGTATTTGCTCTCCCTTCTCTCCAAATTTTCTTCTTTCTCTCTCTAGAGTTTCCGGTCGCCGTCCGCCGTGCTCTCTCGTCGACGATCATTCTCTCGAACTCTCCGACGATGTCTTCCGACTCTTCTTCCAATTCCGAGGTCGCGATCCTTCCCGAACACCGCAGGGAGGAAACTTCTACCGAGATCTCGAGCTCGGGGTCTACGGAGCATTCCTCAAATGCTTCTCTGGTTCGGAAGAACTCCCGGGTCGTCGAGGTCGGCTCTGGTAGCCGAGTTCCGATTCGGGCTCCGGAACGGATGGATCAAAATCCCCGCGAGCCCGAGGGCCAAGTTCCTGCCGATTTGGCACTGGAACAGGAACCTGTCATGAAGACAGACGAGGACGCTCCATTGCGCGAGGTCGGGGATGGAGGGGCACAGGATCCCAATGACGACAATATGATGCCGATCGCGGATCGGCCGTGTATATGCGCTCCGGTAAAATCCACACTGTCATCTCCAGAGACAGTTCGGGCTGCTATGCTGATCAGCGGAGCCCCTCCCGGGATCATTATCCAGGTCCCCGAGCCGGATGAGCGTCCATGGGACGCACCCGAGGACTTCATCTGTGTCTACGAAGCCTATTTTCGCGAGGCCGGGTTGAAATTTCCCTTGCCTCGCTTGTTGTTTGCTTACTGCAATCGTCGCGGGTGCGCGATCTTGCAGCTTCAGCCGGCGTCAATAGTGAATTTTGTTGGGATTCTCCAGCTCGGGCGCGACATCCGGGCTCACATCAACGTAGCTCAATTCGAGGAGCTCTTTATCATGAAGGTCTCGGTGGCGAAGAGTTGGTTTCTGTCGGTGAATTGCAACCCGAAGTTCGACCTGGGAACAAGGCCAGCAAGTTTCCGAACTGGGATCAAAGCTACTTTTTTGTCCGTGTGGATTCGGTATCTGCTGAGAATCCAGAGAGCACGTTCCGGACTGACTGGAGTATCGATTTCGGTACATATCTCACGGTTAACTCCTCTATTTTTTGGTCGGTACTAACAAACGTTTTATGCTCATGCAGATCGCCACGTCCCAGGATTTATTCAGCGCTCCCTCACGTCCGACCTCGCGAAGCAATTGAGTATCGCCGGACAGCTCCGTTGGCCACTTGCCTACCGGGAGAAGATTGATCGCCGGATAAAGAGGGCTACAGAGGTATGAGTTCTCGGATCATCTTGAATTTGCTATCACTTAGACTGTGGCTGACACTTTTTTTTTTGTAGCTAAAAATAAGGAGGAACCCAGTTCGTCGAGACCGGTCCCGAAGAAGAAGAAATCGAGGAAAAGCACCAAGAGAAGTCGGAGAATGGCGTTCGATAGGTCGGATTTCCCAATCATGAACTTTGGGGCTGATGAGGAAGACGACAATGCCCCAATCGACATCGTCGGTCTCGATGGGAACGAGGCTGGTGACGGTGTCGAAGCTGTTGTCGAGGTCGATAACTTCCCGGTTGGCCCGGTTGACCCTCTGATCCCGGTCGCAAAACCGGAGGGCGATGTGGCGGGAACTAGTGTTCCCGAGACGACTCCTCAGCCTCAAATGGAGGAGGGGGAAATTGGTGAGCAGGATGAAGACGAGCTCACCATAGCCGACCACGCCCGCAAGAAGAAAGGCAAGTCCTTGAAGAAGTCGTCTCGGAAGAGGGGTGGTGAGCCTGAGACGGCTGCGAGTGAGGGGACTTTGGTCCTCCATGACTCACCTAATGCTTCTCAGGTTCCTCCAGCGGATTCGGCTGCCGAGACGGAGAACCCGAGGTCGTCCAAGAGGCGTCGGACTTCCGACTCGTCCTCTTTCTCGGTCCGACTTAAGTACAACAAGGACCGGTCTTTCTTCGACGACTAGTCTGCCTGCGCCGAGCTCTTCAGGCAGATCGTGCCGGCCTTGTCTCCGATGCCTGAGACGAAAGACCTCTTCCGCCCCAAGTCTTACGCTCGGGTCGCGAAATCTGCCTCTGCTGTAAGTTTCCCTCCGTCTTGAATACTTAAGCTTTTTTATTTTTGAAGAATTTTGACTTGGGTTCTTTTTTCAGCTCGTCTGTGATACCAACGAGCTCGTTCGTGAGTACGACTCCGAGGTCGAGAGGCTGAGGAGGATCAATGCTGAGGTCGCTGCTGAGAGGGCGTCTCTGGAAACGTCGTACCGGGACGAAAATGGGAGGTACGAGGCTGCTATACTGGCCTTTACCGAAAACGAGAAGGAGAACGCGGCTCTGAAAGAGCAAGTCGAGGCCATGATGAAGCGAACTGTCGAGCTGGAGGGGGACGTGGACGCTCTGTCCAAGTCGTTCAAGACCAGCGAGCTCGAGAGGCGGAAGTACCGGGATGCCGAGTCGAAGAGCAAGAAGATGTTGGCCGCCCTTGGAGCCAAGAGTGAGGGGAAGCTCGCCAAGATGAAAGACTTTATGGACAAGTCCGAGCTCAGAAAGGCGCCGTTCCTCAAGCTTAACCAGGCGACTGCTCTGGTCGGTTTCTACGACTTCCTCAGGCGCGAGCACAACATGATCGTTCCGCCTCACATCGTAGAGATGTATGGGCGCAGGATCAAGAACTGCACGAAGGAAGTCGATGATGTCCCTCTCCCGCGGCTCGCAAATGAGGACTTCCTGCTTCCGAGTGATGACGACCTCATCCCAAGGATCGTGCTTCCACCGGGAACGCAAGTGCCGGATGGTTTGGACCAGTTTGGCTCGAACTCCAAATCCATCTCGGCTGATCGGGCAGCGAGTCTCAAGAGTCCGGCGTCCGTTGCTCGCCAATAATTCTCTTAGTTTTCCTTAGTTTATTTTGGTGTTTGTTGTAAAGACTGTCTTGCCCGTGTAGTTCGGGTTTTTTTTTTACCGCCGTTTTTAGGCGTTGTATTTGTTGTCGTCTAGTTCGACAATATTCGGATACTTTTATGAAATGAACATGTTTCCCTTTATCTCGACTTTTACTTAGAATTTTCTTCTGATATTTCATTGCGGACTGTTGGGAGTTCGGCTTGTTTTGATTAAATTTGGAGTTCGTGATGTTATTGCGACGATGCAGACGAACTCGGGGAACTTTTCGAACTTGAATCGCGGTCGGCGGATTGCTGTTCGAAAGAGTGAGTGCGGGTTGGGCTCCGGCTTTGAATAGTGGGCACCGTGGGGGTGCGGGCGAGACGGATCTCGGCTTTTGAGATTGTATTCATGGGGAATACATAGTTCGATCTCCTGGCTGGGGAGTCGATATATGGAGTTAGTTATAGAAATGAAAAAGATGGATTTTTATTGGATTTGTAGCTGGACTCGAAATCCAGCTGCCTACGTACCCTTTTACAAGGGATCAAGCCACTCGTAGTTCAGTTTACAGGGGTGAGTTCGGCCGGAGCCGGACTGGTTTTTTATTTTTTTATTTTTTTATTTTTTTATTTTTTTTTTGAGTCCGCGCACGTGTTGGCTGGGACTTAGTAATAATATCGTTTGAGATTGGCTGAGTTCCAGGATCGCGGGATCGGCGTTCCGTCGAGCTGCATGAGTTCGTAAACCCTAGGCTTGACGATTCTCATTATCTGATATGGACCTTCCCAGTTCGTTCCCAGTTTTCCTGCATTCAGCTCCTCAGTGTTCTGGAACACTTTGCGTAAGACGAGGTCGCCTTCATCGAAGTGCCGACCTCAGAATTTTTTGATGTAGTACCGAGCAGCGAGGTTTTGATAGTTCTGAATTCGGAGGAGAGCTAAACAGCGTTGCTCTTCCAAGTTATCGAGGTTGTTGAGCATCATCTGGTCGTTGAGATCGGGATCCTCGGGGAGCACTGAGTACCTTAGGGTTGGAATACTCACTTCTGCCGGGCAGAGGGCTTCGAGTCCGTACGCTAAGTAGAAAGGTGACTGTCCGGTCGATCGTCTGGGAGTAGTTCGGTGCGACCATAAGACTCCGTCGAGCTCGTCTGCCCCGGTACCTTTCTTAGCATCGAGACGTTTCTTTATGACGTCCAGGATTGTCTTGTTGGTTGCCTCGGCCTGGCCATTGCCTTGCGAATATCGCGGGGTAGAGAAACTAAGGCGGATTTTGAACTTTGCGCACCACTCATTGAACGTCCCCGCAATAAATTGTGGTCCGTTGTCCGTGACGATCTCGTGCGGGACCCCGTGTCGGCAAATGATATACTTTCAGACGAATTTTTGTACGTCCAGTGCGCTAATCTCCGAGTATGCTTCGGCCTCGACCCATTTGGTGAAGTAGTCGGTCATAATCAAGACATACTGCTTTTGATTTGTTGATCGGCATAAAGGGCCAACGATGTCCATAGCCCACCGCATAAACGGGTAAGGGGCCGTACTGGTTTGCAGCAGCTCGGTCGGCACGTTAATCATTGGGCCATGGCGCTGGCACTTATCGCACTTCATGGCAAACTTCTCGCAGTCCGCGTTCATCGTCGGCCAGAAATAGCTGGCTTTTTTGATTTTCAGAGTGAGAGATCGTCCTCTGGAATGATTGCCGCCGGACCCTTCATGGATTTCGCGCATGATTTCGACTGTATCATTTCCGGAAACGCAGGCCAGGAGTACTCCGGATGCACTCCAACGGAACAGCTTATCTTTATGCATTGTGTAATGGGCAGCCCGGACTTTCAGACGGCGAGCAGCCCATTTGTCTTCGGGGACTTTGCCGTTGAGGAGGTACTCTCGCAGTTCGGCTGTCCAATCTTCGGCGCACTCGCTTTCCTGGCTTTCGCTGGTTGATGGACTGTGGAGTCCTTCGGTTATGTGCTCGAAGTCGTGATCGGCGGCTAGGTCTTCTGGATTGTGCTCGGCGTTTTCTTTAAGTTCCTGCTCGGCATTCTTGTTCGTCCAGGTCGACTTCCTGTTTTGTGTACTTGCCGAGATCGGATTTTCGTCGTAGTTCCGTCGGCGAGTAGCAACATTACATTTCAGCGCGGTTTTGATACTTGGTTCTGAGATACTTTCGACCGGGATCCTTCTCTTCATATGCGGGTCAGAACTGGATGCCAGGGCGGCTAACTCGTCGGCAGACGAGTTCTCGCCGCGAGGGATTTTCGTGAGTTCGAACGTCTCAAACTTAGCGATGAGTACCTTAGTCGCTGTTAGGTATGCGTCCATTCGTTCGTTTTTGGTCGTGTATTCTCCACTTAACTGACTTGCGACGAGCTGCGAATCGCAGAAAGCGTGAAGATGTCGTACGCCGAGCTCGACAGCCAATCGCAGCCCGGCAAGTAGAGCTTCGTACTCAGACTCATTGTTAGATGCTGGGAACTCGAGGCGGAACGACTGTTCGAGGATCTCGCCGTTAGGGGACTTGAGGCGGATTCCGACACCTGATCCCCGGTGAGATGACGATCCGTCGACGTGCAGAATCCATAGTTCGCGAGGCGGCTGTTCGACGACGAACTCTTTGGGAAGTTCGATCAGAAAATCGGCGAGTACTTGGGATTTCGCGCTGGTTCGATTCTTGTACTCTATGTCGTATTCACTTAGTTCGACGGCCCATTTCGCGAGGCGACCTGATTGGCTTGAACTATGTAGAATGGTTCGGAGTGGCTGGTCGGTCAAGACCGTAATTGAATGAGACTGGAAATATGGCCGAAGTTTCCGAGCAGAAACTACCACTGCAAGCGCCAATTTTTCTAAGGTCGGATACCTGGCCTCGGCGTCACTTAGCGATTTGCTGGCATAGAATATTGGACGCTGTTCTCCCCTATCCTCGCGATAGTGATGTATAAGAAGAGCATCTCGCCGTGCTCAGGCTTAGCTAGAATGGGGGGGGGGGTCGAGAGATACGTTTTCAGCTGCTTGAAGGCGTCTTCGCACTCAGTGCTCCAGGTATGATGCTTGTTACCTCGTAACAACTGGTAGAAAGGCAGGCATTTATCCGTCGACCTGGAGATAAATCTGTTCAGGGCGGCGATTCGGCCTGTGAGTTTTTGCACTTTCCTTTTTGAAGTCGGAGAAGGCAGGTCTAGAACTGCGGATATCTGCTTCGGGTTAGCCTCGATGCCGCGCTAAGTGACAATGTAACCCAGGAATTCGCCTGCTGTCACGCCGAAGGTGCACTTGGCGGGGTTGAGTTTCATCCCGTACTCGTTCAGAATGTCGAAACACGTCGATAGGTGCGATATATGGTCCTTAGCGTGCAGGGATTTAACCACCATGTCGTCGATGTATACTTCCATCGTTTTTCCGAGCTGACTGGCGAACATGTGGTTCACGAGTCTTTGATAGGTGGCTCCCGCGTTCTTGAGGCCGAACGACATGACCTTATAACAGTAGATCCCTCGATCTGTAATGAACGAAGTCTTTTCCCGATCATCCGGATGCATTAGGATTTGGTTATACCCCGAAAAGGCATCCATGAAAGACAACAGTTCGTTGCCTGCAGTTGCCTCTACCAACCGATCAATGTGTGGCAGTGGGAAGCTATCTTTGGGACAAGCTTTGTTCAGGTCGGTAAAGTCGACGCAGATCCTCCACTTTCCATTCTTTTTCTTCACGACTACCGGGTTTGCTAGCCAGTCCGGGTATCAAACCTCTGTGATCGAACCAGCCTTGAGTAATTTTTCGACCTCATCGTTTACTGCTCGTGCCTTCTCGGGTCCGAGTTTGCGTCTCTTCTGTTTGATAGGTTTATATGTGGGATCGATGTTTAGCTCGTGGCAAGTGATGTCGGGATTGATTCCGGGCATGTCGCTGATATTCCATGCGAACGTGGAGACGTTTTTCTGGAGGAAACTGATGAGTGCTTCCCGGATACTGTTGTCAAGCTCGACCCCTACGCCGACACATTTCGCTGGATCTGTTGGGTCAATGCCGACTTGGTCGACCTGGCTCTGCTTGGGTGGACCGAACTGGCTTTCTGCGGCCGTACGACCGTCCTGAAAGGGGCTTATGACGCATGTCCGTGCCATGCTTAGTTTGCACTCGGTGAGATGGTATAATCGGGACGCGGTCTGGCTTCCTTTGAGGGTGAAAATCCCTGATGGGATCGGGAACTTGACGCACTGATGGAACGTTGAAGCGACGGCCTTCATGTCGAACAGCCAGGGCGTTCCCAAAATCGCATTGTATATCGCCGGTTTGTTGAGGACCAAGAATTTGATCATTCGAGCCGACCCGCCGACATAGATGGGTATCTTCACTGTTCCTACTGTTCTTGTTTTCTCTCCGGTGAATCCGGTCAATGATTCCATGTAGGGCTTGATCTCGGAGTCCGGAAAATCCATATTCTTTAATGTTTCTTTGAATATGACGTTTACCGAGCTCCCTGTGTCGATTAAGATTCTGCTTACTTCGACATCTCCGAGCTGGAGTTCGACGACGAGGCAATCATTGAGAGGCATGTGCACTCCCTGCAGGTCGGCTTCGGTGAATAACAGTGGTACGGTTGTGACCGTTGTCTGGGGTTGTGAACTCGACGCTTGCCGACTGTATTCTTTGAGAGCTCGGACAGAGTAGTTGCATGATTCGAGGGCTCCCATAATCATATTGAACTTCTTCCTGGTTTTGGGCACGTTCGCCTCTCTATTAGGTGCTTCGCGGTCTCGTTTAGGGGGAGCGACTTGTTCGTCATCGGAGTCGGTTGCATTGGCAGCTTCTTGATTGCCAGGTTTGTTTGGTCGCGGGTTCGGCCGCCGAGGTCCCGGTTTAGGCAAATCTGCGGTGTCAATCTCGCCCTTGCGGAACTGTTGGAGTAAGAAATCCCTCAAATGTCGGCATTCCTCCGTGCTATGCCCATATCGCTCGTGATACTCGCAAAAACGCTCACTCAGTGGCATATCGTCGTCCTTGTGCCATGTGTTCCAAGATTTTGGAGGTCGTCCTGTCCTCTGGTTTGATGGTCCTGCTTGGTTTACTACTCCGCGCGGTTTCCCGGGCTGGACCTTCGTTTCCGAGCTCTTTTTGGGGGTTGGCGTTTGGCCTGGCTTTGTCGTTGAATACTGCCGATCCTTGGCGGCTTCTTCTTCTTCTTCCGCGATGAAGATGTTTCACTTATGGAGCGCGTCCTCGAGGGTGAGCGGTCTGTTCCTGCGAAGCTCTTTGTAAAAGGGGGATTTATACCACGTTTTCTGTTACAAAGCCTTGAGAGCGGCTTCATCGTCCACTGTGCAGTGTGCTACGATCTGTTTGAAACGTGCCATGAAGTCTCGGAGCGACTCATTCTCGCCCTGTGATATCTCCCACAGCTCGGAGTTACGAGTTTTCTGCCCGATGAACATCGAAAAATGCTTTGCGAACTTCGTTCATTGTAGTTGTCGATGGAGTCGGCCTCTAATCTTGAGAACCAGTCTAGAGCAATGCCTTCGAGGTGTTCGACGAACAACTGGCATTGAATCGCGTCCTTCTGTTCGGCCGAGGTGAACTTCAGTCGGTTAATTACGATACCGAACGAGGTAAGGAAATGCCTCGGATCGGAGTTCCCCTCGTACGACCGTAGCTTAAACTTTTTTAAGTTTGGGACGGGGACGTTGGTGATCCGGGAAGTGAACGGTGTTTTCTGTGCTTCCTGGATTACACGGTCGATTTCGGGTGCCGAGCTGGTGGCTTGGTGAAACTTTGAACTGATCTCTCGCAGTTGAGCCTGCATCCGCTCGATCTCCAGGTCGCGTGCTGTTGGTTGAGCTCGCACGTGCTGAGATGGACTCTCTATCTGCTGGTACTGCTGAACTACTGACCGTGCCACTGTGCATTGCGGGTCTCGCTCCTCTTGGAAGTCACTAATGAGGTTCCGTCTTCTGATCGGACTCTCTTGCTGTAGGTTGGAGATCTGTGCGGTGAGGGTTGCGAACTTCGCGTCGTTGCTTCTGACCAACTCTTGCATCTGCGCGGCGAAGGCGTTCATAAGCGCAGTTGGATCGAAGGCAGCTTGAGCTCGGTTTGGTGAGGTCTGGTGTGCCCCGGCGCTTGAGCTCGGCTCCGTCCTGATTTGTTGCGCTTCCGATTGGGGTTGTACGGGGCTGCGTTCGCATTCCTCCACAGGCCCTCCGACCTGGCCCGCAGGTCCTCCGACCTGGGTGATTCCATCTGCACAGGTCATCTGACTTCCGACCTGGACTGAGGTCGGTTGTCTATCATCACTTGTCATATCGTCCTGGCCGATTACCGAACCGGCCCCACGGTGGGCGCCAATTGTTGATTACTATATTCAACTCCGGTCCGGTAATTTGAGTTCGAAAGATCTTAAGTTGATCAGATTTTATTAAGTTTTTAGTTACAGTTCGTTCAGTTCGGAGGATTCTCGGCGAACTCAATACAATATTCAGGTCTCTATTCTCCGGGTCCGAAAAAGGCTCCCTTCTACAGTAACAATTCTACTATTATAGTACACAAGCG